ATCCTTTTGATCAATCAACTTAGGATCAATAGGAGTTGCCCGAAAATAAATTAAATTCATTAATGTTTAAATTAAGCTAGATCAATTTTAAAGGGAGGTCTTACAGTCTTACATAAATGTTTCTGTATAAAATAATTATGAAAATAGATCAGATAATCCATATGTAATAGATTAAGCTAAGTCAATTTTTATTCAACCATATTCTGATCAATCGACTTTTTCGTTTGGATAGAGATTTATATGGTCCAACTTTAATGGTTAACCTTTAAATCATGAGGCCAAGTATTACTTGAATCGTTTGGTTATGAGCCAGGCTATTTTTTTTTAGTCTTGTACGCATATTCGACTCTTAAAAAGCTACTCAGTTTCATAGTTTAGGGGTATTTGACAAATAGTTTTTTGCCTGCATATTTTTTTGGCTTTTTAGTTTGGTAAAACAGTAAAAAAAAAATATGTTAGATTATTGACTATTTGTTTTTGTTGGATTTTAAGCAAAAAGCTAATCAATAAGCGTAGCTTTTTCTATTAGCTTTTGCATTTTGGCTGGTTAACCCACTTTAGTTTTGCCAAACGCTTTTATAAACCGCTGATTTAAACAACCAGCTAAAAAAGACAATTCATATACTCCGCTAATACTTCTAGTTGTTTAAAACTTTAAACGGTTGAAACAAGTCAAGTAAATTAGTCATCACAGAACACCAAAAAACCAACCGCCAATTGCCAAACAACCCTTTTGTATTACATAACACCCACAAGTCCACAAAGCTACACCTACACAACCTTCCTTTGATTAACAGGATGTGCATGGATAGCTAAATCAAGCATATGTAATGAGGCTGATTACTTAATCATGAAGTATGAAATACGCATCAATATTCCATTACTCACTGTATATTATAAGAGGAACTAGTTGAACAGCAGTCCATATTTTCAGGTACTTTTATATCTTGTTTATTAAATATCTTTTTCTCTGTTAATATAGTAAACTTATATGCTTATTAGTATGATTATCATTTCGTTTGTCTAATATCATACTGGTTAAGATCTTATACCAAATCTAACACACAGAATTTTTTTCTCAACTTTGACCTGAAAAGATTCCATGCCAACCCTTTATGAGGCTGTGAATTGCAGACGTCACACTATTCTTGTACTCTTTTATTTTATTTATTTTTTTATAAAAATCTTATGATCAAGTATATTAAATAATTATCTCTAGAACTTTAATTAGTTGCAAAGTCATCTATAATTGATTATATTCATAAATTGGTGACGGTACAAGATATTTTTTTACACGTTGTTTAAAATTATTATCATTAATAGGTAAGGAGAAGTTATTAAGAGATCGGAACTTTTTACAAGTTAACCTGATCTTAGTTAGTGGACAAAATCTTTTGAGTGTAAAAGGAAAGAGTAAGAAAATTTAAATCTCAAAATGCCCTACAAAGTATGAAATTGAGCTTTGATCCTATAAGTGACCACAAGGGTCTACGGTCCTCTTGAATGTGAGATGCAAACATTTTTACAAGGCCACATTTTTGTCATGACCATTTATGCCTACGCTGTAGACATTAGTATGTAATTGCATCTCCTCCTTTGATTAGTCGTTGCTAGTACCATTAATGTGACAATGCATCATTGGGCCATAACTTTTTGCTCTTTTTACAAGACTAGAGTCATTAGGGGTGTGCACAACTTGGTATCCGGCCAAAAATATATTGACCAGACTTTAAAAAATTGGTTAGGACGGTTCTTAAAATAAGAATCTAGTCAACTACTAATATTTAAAATTCAAACTTAATTAAAATCGCCGAGTACCAGCTCAAAATTAGTTGCAACTTGTTCTGAATTTTATTACCCACAATTGATCAACCCCCCAAATCCAATTTTGTTTCAAAAATCACGAGTTCGATGATTTCAATTCTAAAATTGTTCTAGTTATGATTTCGTGCTCAAAATATTTGCTCACTCCTAAGCATGACTAATTGACTATGACAATTTGTGATATTGTAATGTTACCATTGAAATTTCTTACCACTTTTGGTATTATTTTTTGATTTTGATTAACTGATTTTGTAGTTAGCCGGAGTCATTGGTGGATTTGGAGTTGGAGGGTTGGTACATATTGTTGCTTATGAACCAATCAAATGGATGTTGAAGGGTAATAAAAAAAAAATCCTTGAATATACGAAAGGTAATAAATAAAAACAAAAATGATCTAGAATATATTATATATATATAAGAGATCCAATGAGAGCCATAACTTAAAATGAGACTAGACCTATTCTAATTTACTGAATTGAGCTGAATTAAACTGAAATGAATTTATTGGAGCTGAACTGAACCGAATTGAGTTGAACTGAATTGTTTATGAGAGAAGGAAATTAAAAACTGAACTGAACTTAACTGATTGAAGCTGAATTGAACTGAAATTAACCTATAAAGAACATGCCCTAAAGAACCAATATGAGCTAATGTCTATGATGTAGAAAGGGGGATAAACTGTTTTAAGTGTTGTTTTTAATTTTTTTTAATTGTTGTTTTTAATTATATTGTTCCCACTTAAAAGAAAAATGGCATAGGTATTTATTTATTTATTTATTTTAAAAGTAAACACTGATTTACAATGGACTATGACCAAAGATTAATCCACGGTTTAAAAGGCCGTTTCCGAAGTATGATAAAGGTTTATTTCTTGTGAACACAACACTAAGGGGGTGTTTGGGTCCCTCCGTGTTTTTTTAAGTGTCACACTTTTTATTTCTGGCCGTGTTTTTAAAAGTGTTATATTTTTTTTTGGCAAAAAACTACATTGAAATATTTTATCTCTCTTTTTTTATGACCCCCACTCAAACCCACTACTATTTTTTTATTATATCTTTTCTCTCACATTCATTACTTTTCAATAAACTATTAAACTCACTATCTTTCTTTTATAATTTTTTTAATACTCTAACTAGCCCACTTACCTCTTATTTTATTTAAGTCAATTGAATTGCCTAAAACTATGTGCCGGTCAAAGTGTGACATTTAAAAAAACAGGGAGAGAGTATAAATTAAACATTTGTAAATGAAACGGAAATGATTCAAAAAAGTAAGGAAAAAAGTAATGATAGACGCTACATTTACTATATGTTTGGTATTCCAATGGAATGGAAACAATTTGACGAGATTGTGATTGAGTAAGGAAACATATTTTGTTTCCACTAGTTTGTCAAGGGTAACAAATTGGGGGATTTTGTTACCCTTCGAAAATGATATTTATTACCCAATCTGTTACCCTTCGGAAATGCTATTTATTACTTTTAACCCATATTAAACAACTAGAAATGAAACCACTTAATTAAATCCGTTTTTTATATCTAAAATTACTATACCAAACACTGAAATTATACCCTTGTCTAAATACAAGAGAGAGAGAGATATATAATGTCGCATAACACTTACTTGTAAGTGGTAACAATCACAAAAATTTCGATGCACATATATAATTAGTAACAACAGTGAGAATGATATTTTACTACTCCCTCCGTCCCTAAAACAACGATTTTTTTTGCTAAATTTTATTTCCAAAATGTTCATCCCATTTGCATTAAATACCCTTTAATTTACGAAGTACAATAATATTTATGCAAAATTAGTTTCTCTATGTAATTTTTGCTTTTTCCATGTATTTTTATTACATACTTTCTCTACTTTTTTACAAATTCCATGTAAATTTACCTTTTTAATGTACTTTTAGTAGTTTCCCATGCACTTGTATTTTCCACTTAAGTTTCTTAATACCCGTGAAAAATGCTCAAAAGAATTGTTGTTTTAAAGACGAAGGGAATATATAACTTGAAAATAATATAAGTTAATTGTTCTAATGCTTGATGGAAATCCAATGATGATGAGTGAACCTTTTTACTTTCTATTTTGTAAAAATAATACCAATAATAATAATAAAGAAAGAGAGTAAGGGCCTGTTCTCATTGATTGAAATGAGTTGAGCTGAATTGAACTGAATTTATTAGAGCAGAACAGAACTTATTAAAGCTGAAATGAACTGAACTGAACTAAACTGAACTTATTAAAGCTGAACTGAACTGAAATGAAAATAATCATATGAGAATAGGCCTTAAGCCTTGCAATTCAGATCAAAAGACACATATACTTTGCAATTCATCGTATGTTAATACACAATATAATGCACATTTAATCTACAACCTAAGATCTATTTCCATAGCATTATTAGCATTTATAATTAACTTTACCCCTCTAAAGTTTAATGGAAACAAAATAAAAACAAACACCATCAAACACAAGTACACAACGGACTTCACCATTGACTTAATGGATAAAATAAGGAAAATCACCATTGACTTAGTGACATTTATACTAGCTCTAAAGAGCACGCAGCATGTTACATGTCACCACTTAACTTGGACAACTAGACAATACAAAAACAACACCAATTAAATGGTGCAAAACAACACCAATCCATCCATCCATCCAACTCTACTTTTTTCACTCAAAGTGTTGCAAGAATGTCTATGCCATTTGCCAATTAAACCAAAAGAAACTCATCTCTATTGTTTGACACCTCCTTAGCCAAACAAAACCCACTTGGTTGTTGGATCTTATACATTTAACCAAAAAGATCCTAACAGACAAAAGGGCATAATGGTCATTTTACTACCCCCACCCACCCCCCCTATCCCCACCCCCAAATGTGAGCAAAAAATACCTCTCTTTTGCCCCCCTATCCCTCCTTTCCCAAAGTCTCATCTCAAACTCACTGCCTCTCTTACAACAAGGGGGGCTTTTTTCTTGGAGGATAGGATAAAAGTTGTCCCCACTTTTCCTTTTTGTCTTAATAATATTATTATTATACTCGCAAATTCTTGTATTAGACAGACGGCTGACTGACGGTAACATTAGATACCTTGTTAAATTGACTGTTTGATATAAGATGTAGTTTGACACTAATTATATAGAATCATTAAAGGTTAAACAAGCTACACACAAATTTAAAATAACTTTCTACACGAGATTAAGTTAATTGTGTAACTAATACCTAGTCAGATCGACTATCCCACACAAAATATACACTACTTTGAATAATTAAATATGCCTACCAACTTTACTTAAATAAATAACATTGCAAAATAATCCAAAATTATTTTTACCAAATCCTCTCTTCTCTCTCTTTCTCTCTCCTCCCCTCACCCCCACACACACCTCTTTTGCTTATTGCTTGGGAGAATCGAAGTCTCTTTAAAAAGAAATTATAAAATTAAAAAAAAATAAAAAAAAAAAAACAGAGAAAAAACAAAAGGAGGAAGTGAGAGTGATGAAGAAAGCAGTCACCTTTGTGGTTGCTATTTTGCTAAACATTTGAAGCTTTGTTTTGCTAAAGCCTAAAAGTGATATATATGAGTAAAAAACGACCATTTTCCTCTGTTTTTTAAGTCCAATTTTTTTGCCCAAGTCTTTCCCTCCTAACCCTTAGAAACATATAGAGAGATAGAGAGAGAAAGTAGAATAAAATCTAGAGAGAGAAAGTGTATTGATTTTAGAGAGAGAAAGTGATTTTTAGAGAGAAATGGTGGGCTCAGGAGCAGGAGGAGGAGGTGGAGGAGATAGGAGCAAAGAGGCAGTTGGGATGATGGCCCTTCATGAGGCCCTCAGAAGCGTCTGTCTTAACTCAGACTGGACTTACTCTGTCTTCTGGACCATCCGTCCTCGGCCGTAAGTATTTTTTGTGATGTAGACGAGATTTGATCCCATGTCTTTTTATTACCTCGGCCTAACCTAAACTTAGCTAGCTGACACCCATTAATAGGATGTGGGTTTTTAGTGATTTGGGTGAATTAGTGAATAGTGATTATTGGGTGTACCCCCAAAAAAATAAAAATCCAACCTTTATTTTTTCATTTTTTTGGGTGTTTATTCCTTAAAACTCCCATTATTGGTTGCTAATTTTCTTACTTATGGTAATTAAAATTAAATGGGTTTTTGATTAATAGGATGAATTAGTGATTAACTTGAATTGGGTGCTCTAAAAATCTAACCTTTTCTTTTTATTTCCCCTCTTTTTGTATGTTTCTCTCAAAACCCCACCTTTGTCCTTTTATTTTATTTTTGTCTCTCTTGAACTCGAAAGTAGTCCACCAAGTACAAAGCTTATAGAAGAAGATGATGAAGAAATTGTTCTTTCATTTTTATGATTATATAATAAATTTTTATTTTTCTAAAAATGGGTATTTTTGATTTTAATTTTATCATTTTCCATTATTGCAGGAGAGTTAGAGGTGGAAATGGTTGCAAAGTTGGTGATGATAATGGAAGCTTGTAAGTATTCCTCTTTCGTCCACACTCTCTAACAGAGCTGTTACAGGGGACCATTATTTTTAGTGATTTTTTGGGTGCATTTAATGATGATTAGCTTGAAATTATTTTTTGATAACTTTAATTTTTCTTCAAATTTTCTTTTGTTTTATGATTAGTGTTGATTTGATTAGATTAGCAAACTAATTTGATTGATAATTTTTTATGATTAGGATGAACTTAGGTTTTAGGTGCTACAATGATTAATGCCATATTGAAGTGTTTATAATAAGTGAACTTATTAATTAAGGAGTTTTTTTGCATTAATAAAGTTGCTATTATATGGTTATCATGTCTTGTCAAAAAAAAAAAAAAAAAAATGGTTATCATGTACTCCGTAAGAGTTGACCAGGCTAATTTTCTGTATAAAGCAAGAGTTTTAATCTTAAAAATCTTTCCTCTTTACTCCCTTGCCCCCCTTTTCATATTACTTCCTTTGTTGTTTTTTAATCTTAATTGTTATAGTATTTACTACAAGACTGAGAGTCTCAAGCTTGCGTATAACTTTAACCATTAGTATTTTTAATATTATTTAAATTAAAAAGACTCATTGAGGATTTGTATCGAGAAAAATCAAATAAGGTCTCACACGATTATAAAGATGGTTAAAAGGGAGTGTGAATCATGTAGAAGTCCCTATGATGGAAATAAAAAATATGGAGGAAGATTACTTTATAACTTGTATACTATGGAGTACAAAAAGAGTTTTAAATATTTTAATGCTAGATGTATACTTCATATGGTTTTTTTTACTTGCAACATAATCCTTGGGCTTTGGCAATTTGGCATGTACTCCATACACCACAATATATAAACAAATTTTGTTGTTAGTCATAAACTCCCAGATTCCTAGCTTGTTCTTGAATCTTTATTACTAATGCTATTAGTGTATTGCTTGCGCTACAATTTGTAGGCGAAGTAGTTGTGCTGTTTTTGTTTATTACACTTCATTTTGGTTATTTATTCTGTGGATGTTGAGCTGATTTTTGTATGATTGAATGGTGAAGGATGTTGATGTGGGAAGATGGGTTTTGCCGAGGAAGAGTTGCAGATTGCTTGGAAGAGATGGATAGTGAAGATCCTGTCAGGAAGGCATTCAGCAAGATGTCAATTCAGTTATATAATTATGGAGAAGGGTGGGTACTTGGTAGGTGTTGTTATTATACTATGTGCTACTCCATTTCCCTGCCTTTGTCACCCCAGCCCCGTGCCTTGACCCCTTCACGATTAGTAATGAATAATGAATAACTTTGGTTGTTATATTGGTAATTTGTTGAAATATGTGAATGTTTACTGTCTGCTCATCGATGGGAAATATGTTCCTTGTTAAGGCTTTATTGGGCTCTTGATTTCATGTATTTTTGATTCATTTATAGTGAATTTGAGTTGTTTTGAATTCATGCAGGTTAATGGGGAAAGTTGCTTCTGATAAATGTCACAAATGGGTTTTCAAAGAGCCTTCAGAATGCGAACCAAATATATCAAACTACTGGCAGAGCTCCTTTGATGCTGTATGTAGCAATGATATTACTAAAATCATAAGCATTTTAATTTTTTTATTAGACCTATCTTTTGTATGATTTGTTTGTTGTTCTGTTCTCTTCAGCATATTAAAGTCTGTTTTTAATCGGTTCAAAATCAGTTTTGATCCGTAAATGTTAGCTTTGATTAAGACCAAGTTTTAAGTAGCAAAAATCAGTTCGTTTTCGCAAATATCAACTGTAGAGAACTCATCCCTTGTTACATCTTAGTCTACTTTTATGCTCTTCATAGGAGGCACTATGGCCAGTACAACGCTTAAAAAGTGGTTGAGAAACTCAAATTTGAAACTTATGTACCCAATATCTCAGTTTTACCAATATGCATGCAAAGAATTTTCTATAGATATATGCGTAAATCTGCAAGTTTTTGTCTTATATGGTCTACTTGGAAGACATAAGGATAATATATTAGAAAGTAATGGAGATTAGGACACACTATGGCTCACTTTGCTGCTAGTTCTTGTTAGTTGGCCCCTCCTTAATGAGAAAGTTTATGTTACCATCATTTCATGGTATAATAAAAATAGGGTTTTGCGCCGATATGCTTAATGATTATGTTTAGGGCCAATAACTGTTTATATGATTAAGAGACTATTTCCACCTTTTCATTGATGTTTTTATTTTTTGGTTGCAGCTTCCTACTGAATGGACTGACCAATTTGAATCGGGTATTCAGGTTAGAGTTGATACTACTTACATTACCTGCATACATTCTTCTTTTAAAAAATGTATCTAATAACTGTATCTTTTGCTGTTGTCTTGTTGTTTAAACAGACGATTGCTGTAATCCAAGCTGGTCATGGACTCCTTCAATTAGGCTCCTGCAAGATCGTGAGTCAATTCTCATTTTCTTGCTCTGTATTGAATTTATATCTCATTTCCACCCTTATATTCTAATGGTTCAATTACTTATAATTAGCAATTTTAGATACACCATGAGTATTACAGTTTACTAAAGTACGTTAGACAATTGATTGTGGGGCACAGTGTTAGATTAAAGCAACGTTTAGGTGGATTTTGAACTTGATTAGCACAATTAATATAAAAACACCTTTATTTTGATTAGACTGCTTAAAAAAATTGGTTAGCATCTTTTAACTAAAAGTAGCTTTTGATGCGCTTATACCTATGTAGCTGGTTCGGCAAGGTGCCATCATGTTTATATTTGCTATGATGCTCGATTTGAATATAAGAACTTATTATTTAACTTTCTGTTTGAAACTTGACAAAAGTTTTGACAAAAAATATTGTTTTGGCATAAGAAAAATATTGCTCATGGTCTTACTAAAATGTGTTAACTGTGTTTCAGATACCTGAAGACTTGCATTTCGTGCTACGAATGAGGCATACCTTTGAATCTTTAGGCTATCAATCTGGCTTCTATCTTTCACAACTTTTCTCCTCAACAAGAAATGCTTCCTCTTCTTCTAGTATCCCCACAAAGCAGCCTGGCCCTACACTAGGCCCTCCCCCGCTTTTCAACTGGGGCCCACGCCCCCTATCGTCTCCGGGTTCAATGCTAACACCTCACAATTTCCAGAGGCCTCTCGGCTATGCACCTACAAAAGACGAGCCCCGCATGTTTTTGATGCCGCATTCAGCAGACAATCGAATGGATGAGATGATGGGAGAGCATGAATCCGATATCAAGTGGCCTAATGGCCTTTCATTCTTCAATGCTCTTACAGGAAGGGCTGATGAAGCCAAGCTGTTGTTCAACCTTGATAGCTTGGGTCACAAGCCTGATCCAAACTCTAACCCCGAGGGTCCAAACCAGAATATGCAAGGTACCGGTGGGGCGAACTCAAACGAGTACTTGAGCTTGGATAATCATCAAGAGCAAATGAGGAAGAGTATTGAGAACAAATTCAAGAGGAGCTATACATTACCAGCTAGAATGACTTCTTCAGGCTCGTCGACTTCACTTGATCATCATCCTCAGCACCCTCAGGAGTACCGAAATCCTGAGGCCGGAATGTACTCTGATGTAATGGAGACATTCTTAGAGTAATGAGGTAGATGGTGGAAAACTTTGTAACTAGATTATGCTAGTTTTCTTTTCTTTCTTTTTTCCTAGTTCTATTAGTTTTAACTGTTGATGTTCTTGTACTTTTTTCTCTATCTTTTTTAGGCCTTTGTTTTTTTTTTTTTTTTTGGTTGTGATGTTTAACTGAACTTTGTTCACCAATTTATTGTAGCTTATGGAAACATAAATTCTAGTTGAAGTTTCCTTTTTTTACCTTCTTTTTTTTTTTTTGGCACCTTCATTTTTTTTTTTGAAAGGAAAAAACCAGCTAGGTAATTATTTTTGTCCCATTTTGCATTAACAGTGTCAATTGATGTAGTCTTAGCACGATTTGTAGTCTCATTGATGAAGTTTAAAGTACAGTTGCAGGTTTATTAAGCAAGTTTAGACAATGCTTCTTGACATGAGCTAAGTATTGATTTGAGACGTCATTATTAAGATCGATACAAGCTTAAAGATTATAGTGAGACACTCTTTATGTTCTCTTCATCCGGAATTATTTGTCATATTGGTTCAATATCTTGTGATCAAGGTTCTAACATGATACAATTGGAATACCGAATACGCCTTGTAGTTGCCTCTTTCCCATCTTAACTTACGCTACTTTTAGTGGATGTATGTTTGGATGCATAGTTGAGTTGACAATTTCTTACACGGTAACATGAAATAACATGAATATGACAAGGTTATGGGAAAAAACATGAACTTGACATGACACAAACAAGAATTAATTAGAGATTAAATTATTTAGATTATACAGTTATCTCAGTTTTCATAATGTTTGATATATTTGGCGAGCAGCAAGAAATGGACACAAAATCAAAGGCCACCCCCACTTGTATATATGCTTTTCCAACACTAAATATAATCATAAAATACCTTGCGATGTTTTGTGAAAGGAATGGTGTCCTTCGAACAAGTGTATTATTCTGATAGCGGGTTCAGAATTATTAAAAAGCTAATATATTCAGTAAGGTCAAGTGATCGGAATGCCTTGGTGGAGGCCGCTTTCGATCAGTAATATTAATATTACAGCTTAATCTTGACTGAACCCTTCAGGTCACACCCAAGAAAAATATACGAACCGACTCGACGAATTAATTCGGAAGAAATTAATTCGTCGCCCGTGTGTTAAATATTTAGACGTCGGTAATTCGAGCTTGGAGCGTCGAAACCGATCGTCGGAAGTCGAGTAAAAAATAATAAAAAGACGAGACGCGCAAAATAATAATAAATCGACCATATTCCCAAAATACCCCTAGCATCAGAGTGCCCCGAGCATCCGAATGCTAGGGGCAAAAATGTCTAAGCATAGGTGGCTAGCAAGCGCACCAAGCCGAGCCTAGCATGGCTGGCTAGGTGCGTGCTAGCAGCCACACACAGCAACAGCTAGCAGCCGCTTGCACGTGGTGCGTGCAGCAGCTAGCTGCCGCAAGCTAGGCGTGCTAGCAGCGCACGCACTAGCAACCACGCACAGCAGAAAGCCCGCACCAAGTGCGTGGCTTGCGCGCACAGCAGCAGCCCGCATCTTGGTGCGGGGCTGGCTCGGGCTGGGCTCGTGGCTGGGCCATAGGGCCGGTCACTATGGGGAAGCTTGAGGAATATGGGAGCAAGTGGGTAAGGACATGTGACACAAGGAGAGTATTGAGTGGGGAGCAAGTATGGTCCCCTACTCTCCATGTGTCCTCACCAACCCATTTCACATGGTAATGCCACTTGTAGATTTATTATTAGTTTGCAATTTTAATTTAATTTAGGTTTAAATTAATTTGTGAAATTTCATGATCCCACATTGATGGGATAAAAATTCCCACTCATACTTTCCTCTATAAATACCAACCTTAGGATTTGGAGTAAAATGCTTGAGTGGGAGTTAGAAAGAGCATTCCATATTTTGGGAAAAACTCTTAAACTCCATTAACACTTGGGTTTTGGTCGGACCTTGCTAACTCCAAGGTAGCGAACCTAAAAAGTCGTGTTCGTCCTTTGTGGGTGGATACCGTTGTAAGCACGGCATTTGCGGTACTCAAGGCTTTCAAGTAAGAGCCCGTTTTGAGAGGGCGAAGCTCGCTTCAAGGGTATGATTCGTTCTTCCTTTTCTTGTGTTTATTTATTTATGTTTTATGGTTTTATTAATTATGAGTGGTTCCTTGGGTCGTGGTTGTTTCCGCGGTGAGTCGGACTCACCAAACCCCAACAACGGTGTCGGAGCCCCGCTCGTTTATTTTTATAATCATGTTTTTCAAGGTTTATCTTGGCTTATTTTTCTGGTTTAAGTTGCTAATTAGATTATTAGCTCGGTTTTATTTATTTTAATCCCGTTTATAATGTCGAATTTGGCCCGGAACCCAGATTTTCGCCCAAAAATAGTGAATTTTGGGTGGAAAAGGTGTTCTGGAAAGATTTTTATTCCAAAGGGACTGAGATTTAAGCCAAATTCTGACCAAAAATGCCTTTTTCGAGGGATTTTTCGTTTTTGACGAAAAATTTTAAGTCTTTTCTAACCTTGAAATTAATGGCATAACTTGTTGATTATGTGGTTGATTATTTGCATTATTTTCTGCAATTTTAAGTCCCTTTAAAGCACACTTACTTGGTAGTATTTGATTCTTAAAGGTTGATTTATTTTCACATAATTGCAAACTAATTGCTTTTTAGTGTGAAATTTTTTGTTTTGAGGCTTCCTAAGTGTTAAAGATTCAATCTTTATTTGTGATAAGTGATTGAAACTTTAAAAACCACTAAATTCCATGTTATTTTGTGTTAAACTTTGTTGTTTTAATCATTTAGAGTTGATTGGAAACATAAAGTTTCAATTTTTGTGATAGAAATTTGGTTATCTTCATGTTGGAAGATATAATTTTCAAGGTTTCACAAAATTTAGATGTTGGAATTTTCATTTGAACATTAAAGTTCATATTTTTCCAACTTCCCCTTACTTTGTCAAATTCTCAAGTTTAATTTAAATTGATTAAATTAAAAGTGAGAAATTGTCTCAACTTTGTTATTGCACCAAGCTAAACCAATTTAATTAAGAATGGTTCTTGGAATTATTTTGGTTATTTGCACTTTGAAATTTTATTAAGGTAGACTTGTTTAAAATTTTTATTTTTTGCTCATTAAGTTAGTTCTAAAATTAATTTAGAATTAATTAATTATGTCTCGCGAAATGGGATCAAAACCCGAGGCCATGGCACGCAAAACGAGGCAAAGAACCACCCTTGGCTAGCCGGGCTGCATAGAAGTCCGCATGTGGCTGCCAAGGTGGCTGCCCCGCCTTGCATGGGGCCACACGCGCGGCAGCAGCACACGACCACAACAGCCACGCACCAGCAGCCATGGTTGTGCGTGCGCGTGCGTGCGGCAGTGGCAGCAGCCCATGGCTGCTTGCCGCGGGCCGTGTGTGCATATGCTTGGTGCGGTGAGGTGAATAGTCGTAGTATGCTTGGTTTGCATGAGCCGCGATTATTCGAGTTTCCTTGGCAAAACGCTTAAAGCGAAAGCCACTTGAAATGCGGTTGGCTTAATATTGCTTATGTTGCCGTTTTATTTATTTTAATTAATTTTGTTTATTTTAATTAAAATTTTGGGAGGCTAGGCCTCGGTTTTGAGCGGCATTGGCAAAATTTTATTTTGACAAGTTTGGGTGCTACCGACTTAATTAATTGGATTAATTAAGGGAAATGCGAAATTTAGTGGGAGCTCAAATTAATTAATGACGTCAAATTACATAATCGGTTAAACAACTTTGACTAGTTTTAATTAGGCGTGTTAATCGGATTAACCACTTAGATTAGTTACTAGTGCGCGCGTTGTTTAAATGCATTTTACTTGTTTGATATTGTAAATTGCATGGGCCATTCACAAATAGTGAATGGATGAATGGAATATATATTCTCTCTCACAGGTTTTATGAAATGGCATCTAGTGGGACCCGATTAGGATAGAAAATACGGACTACGTGCCGTTGTGTATTTTTGTAAATCTAAATACGGTCTACGCACTGTTAAGCATTTTTGTACCTTAATATTTAGATTATTCCTAGTCATAGACACTAGTATTTGCATAGTTTGGTTAAGTCTTGAAGACGGCGTATCTTGGAAGACAAAGCCTTGAATTTCAAATGAAGACCTTTTGAAGATTTGAAGAATTCAAGGGGTCATGCTAGTTGCCAATATGCATCTATAATTTCGCTTTATATTTTATGCTTATATATACATGTAAATTATTCGTTAGATGCATGTTTAGGTTTTCTTTATGTTGCGATGATTAGTTAAGTTAACTTAAATCAACCAACATAGAAATCCTAGGTCCCTAATAATATTGAGTCAAACTTGCCTTTCCAAAACAACACTTACCAACCGAACGAGGGTGATGGTAAGCTACGCCAAAGAGAGGTTCCATCACTTCTCCAAGGCTCATAAGGCACCGGGTGTGCACATTGGTTTTGGTTTAACTCATCGGTATGAGTAAGGAGTCCTCACATACCGTGGCAAAAGAGATACATCGTCAAAGATGCATTAGATGCGACGATTATCTAACCAAGAGTGGCTTAGAGCCATTAGAAAGGCAATGCTTACCCTAGAAGATTGAGTGTTAAGACAAGCCAAAGCATGCTTAACCACTCTTTGTTTCTTCGGATCTTGGAATCGCCTTATTTTCACAAAATAGGGACAATTTTACGTGTAAATAAGACGTTAAATAAGTATTGAAAATTTGCATGAATAAAATTCAATCTTATTTAAGTAATTTTGAGTGGTTTTTCATTAAAATTCTTTCAATTGTAGAATCATGTCTTCAACCTCAAACAACCAGTTTTATTACGCTCAATTCTCGACAAGGAGAAGCTGAGTGGTACAAATTTCCTTGATTGTCAAAGGAATTTGCGCATCGTTCTTATGCAAGAACAGAAAGAGTATGTCCTTGATGAGGAAATGCCCGAGGCTCCCAATGAGGAGGTAACTCAAGCAGCCCTTAACCGATGGAAAGTAGCCGATCGGGATGTCAAGTGCGTAATGCTAGCCACTATGTCTCCTGAACTTCAGAAAACCTTCTTCGAGAAGGAATCGACCTATGAGATTAATTATGAGTTACATAATATATTTCAAGAACAGGCTCGAACTGAAAGGTTTGAAACCCACAGGCAGATCCTTGAGACTAAGCTCAAGAAAGGAGAGCCAGTCAACCCACATGTGCTCAAAATGATCGGATTA